GCGCTGTGCCTGTTTGCGTGTGTGTGTGTGTGTGTGTGGCCTCCCCCCCTCCATCTCCCCGCCTTGGCTGGCCCCGCTTCGCGCGGCGCATTCCCTTCGGAGCCGCTTGTGGTTGTACGGCAATGGCGCGCCGCCCCCACGTGCGCCTCCCCGCGGGCGGGGGCCGAGGCCTTCCCCCGTGCCGGCGGGGCGCGCCGCGGCGTCTTTGGGTCGCGCGTGGCCGGGCGCCCTCCTCCCCCTCCTCCCGAGTTTCTTTTTTTCCTGCATGGCGGTTTGGGCCTGTGCCCCGCGGCGTGGGTGGCGGCGCGTCGTTTTCCCGCTCCACCCCGCCGGCAGCCGTTACTCCCGCGGCGGGTTTCTCTCTGGCGCCGCGTGGGACTCCTGCGGCCAAACGTCGAGGGGCAGCGGGGAGAATCTCGCCGCCGCGCGAGGGCAAGCCCGGCCGCCGGCCGTGGGCGGCCAGCGTGGCTCCCGCTTGGCTGTGACAGCGCCGTCGTCGCGTCGCCCTCTCGCGCGCGGCCGCTCTTCGCCTGACGCCGTTTGGCGCGGTGCGGGTGCGGCGCCGATTGTGCGTGGCCGCACGCGGCGGCAGGAGGCACCGCGGCGCAGTGCTGCCCGGCGTTTCGCCTCCTCCGCGGGACGCCTCCGTGCACGCCGTGTCGCTGCGGCGCCGGCCACGCTGCGCGCCGACGGCTCCGTCACTCCGCCAGGGCAGTTGGTGGCAACTTCCCCGATGCGGTCACCGGCTGCCCCAGTGATGATTGTGGATGCACCCCCGCTGCGCAACGCAACACGGCGTGTGTCTGTCCGTGTGAAAGCTGCGAGAGTTAAGGCAAAGCCCCCGCCTCTCGACCTTTGTCACGACACGTACTTGTCCTTTGCCTGCCACGTGCCGATTGGTTTCAGCACACCCAGCCGGGAATATATTGCCCTCTGAATGTGCTTTAGGAGGGACGGCAGCCGGGCAACTTCGTGCGGACAAAGTCCGTTGAAGGCATCATGTATGCGGCGCAGCGGCCCCCCGGTTGTCCCAGTCAACTTTGTTGGCATTACTGAGCCGACTGCTGTTGGGTCGTGCGCTCCCACTGGCGCCCACTTCTCTCCTTTTCTCCTCCGCCGCCTCCTGTGCACCGTGCCTGCCTTTCCCCCTTCTCCCGCTTTCCGTTTCTTCACTGTAGGAATCCACAGGCTGCACAGCAAGACAGTTGCAGAGGGGCATTGGCTATGGCGGTGTGTTGGGGGCGGCGCGGCTGCTGTGCGCAGTTGGGCTTGCGCCCCCCTGCGGCGGCGCCGTGCCTTCTTTTCCTTGTCGTCGTCGTCCTCCCTCTGCTGCTCCTCCTTGCTCTTCCATGCGCCGGCGCCCAGACTGCGGCAGCCCGAAAAGTTGTAAAGGTTGTAGCTTTTCGCTTCAGTTTTCAAATTCTTGACGATTTTTCCAGGAACATCGTTGCGGGGTTAAATGCCTCGTTGCACTCGCGGAATTTCATTGTGGAGGACGATGTGCGTGTGGAGATTGTCTTGCAAAACACAACCTTCGCCACTTATCCGAGTGACCTCTCTGCGGTGTTGAGGGATAACAATGATATTTACGCCGTCGTTGGTCACTGCGGCGACAGGCTTTTGGAGAATATAAAGGGTGCTCTTGCGCAAGAAAACGTCGTCGCTTTTGCCCCGTTCACTGGGTCGAGCGTGGTGCGTGGGTGGAACCCCAACGTGTACTTTTTGCGCGCCGACCCTGGGGCCGAGCTGCTGGCGCTTCTCCGCTACGCCGTGACTGAGCTGCAGGTGCTTCGGCTGGGCTTCATGTACCTGCAGGACGTCTCTTATGGCGATCGCGAGTACGAGCAGGCAGAGCGTGTGCTGTCGGCGATGGGCTACGCGCTGAGCGGCGTCTTCACCGTGAAGAGCGCAGTGCAAGGTGGCGCCGACCCCACAGAGTTTGACGATGCGTGGGAGCGGTTTGCTGCGACTCGGCCGCAGGCGGTGATTGTGTTCGGCTCGCCGATAGCGGACACCATGAAATTCATTAGGAGGATGCTGACGGACGCGCGCACCGCCGGCGCGTACCTGCTGGTTCCCTCGGCGTTGCAGGACGTTCTTTTGAGTAATTGGCGCGCCGTCGTGGATAATGGCAGTGCGAAGTTTGTGCCCGGGCAGGTGATCACGACGGGGACGAACCCGCTGGCGAAGGACGCAAGGTACGACGCCATCCGGCGCTTCCAGGCGGTGATGCGGGAGTACCTGAAGAACAGCGGGCAGAGAGACTACAACGACACGGAGCATTTCCTCAATAATGACGGTGACGGGGAGCTGATGGTTGATGGGTGGATTGCCGGCGAGGTGCTGGCGCAGGCGCTGAGTAACCCCAAGTGGGTGAAGGATCGTAACTCTTTCAAGGCGTCTCTATTCAACCAACGCCGTTACGTGGTCAACGACCTCGTGATTGGGGACTTCGGTGGCGAATGCGAAGGCGCGGCTGCGTCACAGGGCGCCACCTGCCGCTGCAACCAGGGCGGCCGCACGGTGTACATGAAGCGGTTAGTGCAGGACTACCGTGCCGAAGGTCTGGACGGGGGAACCTTTGTTCTCCCGTTTTCAGAGTGTCAGGCCTCAAACTTAAAGTTGCGGGGATTTCTCGTAGGAATTTTTTTTCGTTTGCGGATATTCCACGGTTTGCGCGCATTGTTATGCAGCTGGAAGTTGCCTTGCATGACCAAGTAACAAGGCACGATGCTGTTTATATTAACGAGGAGGGGCTAGCTATGCAGTTGATTTCATCGAAAAGTGATGGCGCCCATGATGCGCTTAAAGCAGTGATGGAAACGCAACACGTCCATCTTGTTGCGGGGGTTGTGACGGAGGCGATGCTGGGCGTGGAGGGTGTGCCCTTCATCGACCCGCTGCAGCTCGAGCCGCGGCTGAACAGGTTCCGCCGGCACGTGATCCACCTGTCGCCGACGCTGGAGCAGCAGTTCTTCGTGCTGGCGGAGTACCTCCGGGACACGGGTGTCCGCGCGGCGCACGCGGTGTTCCGCGGCGAGGAGGCGGCGGCGGTGGCGGAGGTGCTGCGGCGGTCGCTGGTGACGTTTGGCGGGTCGCTGCGGTCCGCGACGCTGCTGGCCGGCGGCGACGCGCTGGCGGGGCACCTGCCGGAGGCGGGCGACGTGTTCGTGGCGGGCCTTGCGGCCGGCGACGTCGCTGCGGTGGCGCGGCACGTGGCGTCGCACGACGGCGTGCGTGTGTTTGTCGCGTTCTCCGAGTTTGCGCTGCTGCACGCCGACTTCGCCGCC